GGTATACCTTCACCAGAGTACCACGTGACGCTCTGTTACATCACGTCGGTATAATGACACCAAAGTACCACGTGACGCTCGGTGGTACATCACGTCGGTATACGAAACCAAAGTACCCCGTGACGCTCGGTGGTACATCACGTCGGTGTAATGACACCAAAGTATCACGTGGCACTCTAGTACATCACGTCGGTATACCGACACCAAAGTACCACGTGACGCTCTGGTACATCACATCGGTATACCGACACCGAAGTACCACGTGACACTCTGTTACATCACATCGGTATACCGACACCAAAGTACCACGTGGTACTCTCTGTTACATTATGTCGGTATATCGACACCAACGTACCACGTGACACTCTGGTACATCACGACGGTATATCGACATCAAAGTACCACGTGCCATTCGGTGGTTCTTCACGTCTGGCCTATCCCAAGACTTGTTCACGACGCCTGATCACTGACTTAGAATAATGACGTGTTCAAGACGCCTGGCCAATAGTATCTTCGCGACTCGCAAATGACTTGTTCCCGGCTCGTGGCAAGTGATACGTGCATGACACCTTGTCAATGACTTGTTCATTATGCCAGGCCAATGGCGAATTCCTGATGCCTGGTCAGTGACTTGTTCCCGTTGCTTGGCCAATTGCTTGATCGCCTAGCGTTGGACTTAATCTCGACGACTGGCCGTTGACTTGTTCCAGACGCATGGACAACGATTAGGTCCGATGCATGGACAACGATTAGGTCCGATGCATGGACAACGATTTGGTCCGATGCCTGGACAAAGACTTATTGGCGACACCTAGTCAATCACTTTTTCCCGGAGTCTTGTTCACCACAATGTTCGCAATGCTTGGTCGTGACTGAGGTTTTCGATATAAGTTTTGTCCCAGAAAGACTATGTTACAATTGACACATGGTGGTAGGTCTAGTTTTCATGAATTTACCAGAATGTGATGAACTTGTTTATCTACCTATCTATCGAACGTATTGATTGATTGATTGATTGATTGATTAGTTGGTTGTTTGGCTGGTTGGTCGGGGTGCTTCTTCTCAGTGTTTCGGACAGCAGCAAAGTTTTAACAGTGAAGATGGGGAAAGTCTAGCTGTGAAATTATTACAAAGTACGCTGTAATATGTGTGAACACGTTTGCTTAACACACAACTAAATGAATTCATATTATATTAGGACAAGAAGCCATTAGTAAATGGTTTTCTCTTTATAAATGGCCCCTGTAACATTAATCATAAGCCCCCTTCCTTTCTCGGACTCCTAGTTTCTGATTCCGTTGAAAATATTCTCTTAAGAATATTTGTATGAGTAACCGATGTGTAAATCTCCAAACACGGTTTCTAACGGTCAATCATTGTCAAAACTAGACCCGTGTTCGATGTACGGAAGTGTACCATTCATTCCTATAATATCGCTATTAATTGTTGATAGGTCCGTCTCTAATCTAAACATACAGCGCAAACCCCGCAGACATTTGTCTACCTGCACCAACACGAGGTGTTGTAAGTGTTTGGTATTTACAACCATTGTCAGACTTGGTGATAAGCGGATACCTGTCGGATACCTGTCGATATGACTCCTCTTGTGACGTTGGCTGTGGTTTTGGCAGTCCGTGTCAGGGACTCAGCACTGATAAGGAAAAACGGGAAGGCCCTATCTTATATCACCACGCCACCTGTAGAAGACCTGTCCGGCATAGTTCATGCTAATACAAAAACTCATGAACAGGTTAAAAGAATTCGAGGCATGTTCGGAAATTCCACCGATATCTATAACTTACACGTCACGTGTCAATTTATCACAACATTGCGGGGCGCTGTTTTATTGTCTCTTAAATTTCCCTTGTTGGTTTGGGATAATCTGACTCTTGGAAAATACGGGGATGTGATGTCAAAATCTAATCATGAATTCCACTTCCATTTCCCAATCTTTGATCTATTAATAGTATTTCAATTTATTTTGATAACGTTTTGATATAACTGTTGATTTTTTTATACAAAATGTTATGATGATAACCAAACACGGCGGTTATTATGGTCGACGACGATGTTAAAACTAGCCAAGCCCTGCTACATATCCCATAATGCCTGGTGAACGTATTAACGTTAATGTGTTTTCGGTATATTGAAGACTTTTTGGGTTGGTTTCCTTATGTAACATTTCTGATCATCGCTTTTACCAACTTGTAGACAGTTATTTTAAATACAAACGTCAAGTAAGGAGCGAAATGGCTGAAACATCCACGGTCCCTCAGACTGGATTCTGTAATAGAGAGTGCTATTTGGGACGAAAATGCGTCCTGATAATTTGACAGCTGGGTTACAGATGTTTTCAAAAGCTCGAAAAATATGCAGTTGCTGTTTGTGGTGAAAAGAAATGTCTTCCCGGCTAAGTATAAATATATCTAGTGGTGATTCTCATTGCGAACATTCGTGAATTATGTTTTGATTGGTCGCCTGATTCTTACCACGTCAATTACGGAACTGATTGTAAAATAATCAATAATGATATATGATCGGTTTCACGGAAAGGGGTGTGTTTTATTTAGAGAGGAAAGAGTATGGATGAAACATAGTTATATAGAAAATTTCTATGAACGTATTGTATTTTCTAGAAAATATCTCTCGCGCATTTTGGGGGCCTATTTTAACATTTGCACGGTAGTGTGTGTTTATATTATCTGTGTAAGTTGTTGGATCATTGTATTATATAATTAGTTAATTAACATAAGCAAGGCACGTGTTAAAAAAAAACGGTGGGGTCTCTTCATTAACATTACATTTGAAATAGTATACCCATTCTTATAGAAGTCAGGGGTTTAACTGACTGAGACCTTCTGGATGATATTTAAACAGATCTGCTCGGCAATTATCAAAATGTCAACGAAACACATAACGACTAAACTAAATCTGTTTGTGAAGTTTGGAAAAACAACAAAAATCAAACCAAAACGAGGAAATTATTATCAGTTATCAAAATAATGTGTTATTAAAATACGAATTGTTTACCGTTATTAACTGACTGCAAACTATTTTTTTTTTTTTTTGAAAATTGTCACATTGATGTTCATTACAAATCATAATATATTATCGAAATATTGATTTACCGATAGCAGAGACGTATATATCACATGTGATATATACGTCTCTGCCGATAGTATGTCTACTATATTAACCATTGAATGTGTTCTCTCACTGCTCACCAACAATCAATCACTCAAAACAGTGAGAAATATTACCAACAGTTTGTACTGTGACAGACATAGTGTTCTCTCACTGCTCACCAACAATCAATCACTCAAAACAGTGAGAAATATTACCAACAGTTTGTACTGTGACAGACATAGTGTTCTCTCACTGCTCACCAACAACCAATCACTTAAAACAGTGAGAAATATTACCAACAAACAGACATAGTGTTCTCTCACTGCTCACCAACAATCAATCACTCAAAACAGTGAAAAATATTACCAACAGTTTGTACTGTGACAGACATAGTGTTCTCTCACTGCTCACCAACAACCAATCACTTAAAACAGTGAGACATATTACCAACAGTTTGTACTGTGACAGACATAGTGTTCTCTCACTGCTCACCAACAACCAATCACTTAAAACAGTGAGAAATATTATCAACAGTTAGTACTTGGTCAGACATAGTGTTCTCTCACTGCTCACCAACAACCAATCACTTAAAACAGTGAGAAATATTACCAACAGTTTGTACTGTGACAGACATAGTGTTCTCTCACTCCTCGTCAACAACCAATCACTTAAAACAGTGAGAAATATTACCAACAGTTTGTACTGTGACAGACATAGTGTTCTCTCACTGCTCACCAACAACCAATCACTTAAAACAGTGAGAAATATTACCAACAGTTTGTACTGTGACAGACATAGTGTTCTCTCACTGCTCACCAACAACCAATCACTTAAAACAGTGAGAAATATTACCAACAGTTTGTACTGTGACAGACATAGTGTTCTCTCACTGCTCACCAACAACCAATCACTTAAAACAGTGAGAAATATTATCAACAGTTTGTACTTGGTCAGACATAGTGTTCTCTCACTGCTCACCAACAACCAATCACTTAAAACAGTGAGAAATATTACCAACAGTTTGTACTGTGACAGACATAGTGTTCTCTCACTGCTCACCAACAACCAATCACTTAAAACAGTGAGAAATATTACCAACAGTTTGTACTTGGTCAGACATAGTGTTCTCTCACTGCTCACCAACAACCAATCACTTAAAACAGTGAGACATATTACCAACAGTTTGTACTGTGACAGACATAGTGTTCTCTCACTGCTCACCAACAACCAATCACTTAAAACAGTGAGAAATATTTCAACAGTTTGTACGTGTGTGCTCACCAACAACCAATCACTTAAAACAGTGAGACATATTACCAACAGTTTGTACTGTGACAGACATAGTGTTCGTGCGAGTTTTTTTTTCACATGTGTGTCTAAACAGAAACAGGTGGACAATCTGACTTGTGTGTGTTTCCTTAGCTACCAACAAATAGTACATTTATTGTGCTATCATCAAGATCACGTGTTCTCATGTCAAAATATGTGACACTGACCTGATATAAAGTGATTATCAAATATATAGACTGTTTTTCATATTAATTTCGGAAAATATCCCCAACCGATAATTACATGAAATTTGTGTTGACTTTTTAATAACTCCGTTGAATTCGCCCTCTATCATTACTCAGTTGAAAATGTGTAAATATCAATAGCTCTTTTTCATTCCGACTAAAGCTCTGTATATTAACCTGTGTGCTTTTTTTATATTATTAGCTTTTATGCTAAATCTCTCAAGTCTGTGTGAGAGTTTTGTGTGTTTAGGAGCTGACTCACTGTGTACATTCCCCAGTGTTCGTTGGTTGTCAGGTCCCCCTAAGGTAGGAAAAAACGTGGTACATATATACAACACACCATCGGCGCGGCCTTCCCAGATAGTACATAGCCTCTGTCGACGACGGTTCTCATACATGAACCGAACATTACCGAACTTTAACGATCTTCGCCGAGGAAGGAAACAATTTCGTTTAAGGAAAATGGATAGCACTTGTGGAGAATTTAACCCTGCAATGGACAATCGTGATAAATACACAGAATCAATAGAACTGTCCAACAAATGTCGAGAGTTTTACAGACGTAGAATGGAGAGCATGGAAATGTCTAAACAGCGACTATCCCCGACTCTCCGATCCGGAAATAAGACCAAGAAATCATCAATTGACGTTGCTATGGAAAAGTTGGGTACAGAAATGGTAAGTAAGATTCCTTGTGTTGTTAACCCAGTACATGGAAATACTCCGCACTATTGGTGATACATTGAAACGGTGGTATTCTGGTCCCTGTAAATATGTTAAAACTCCACGAATACAATAATTGTAGTTGTAGCAATGGTTATTTAACAACCATAAATTTAAATTTCTGACAATTAATGGAGTACAATGACAAGGAGAGTAAAGAATAACTCCAGTTATAACACTACTAGGGATAAATGACTGGTTGCCCACCAACATTCGTTAAATTATGGCAAAGCATGTTGCGTGTTGTTTGTTTAGGGAATTCCTTAACAATAAGTGACTAGCTCTTCATATCGTCAGTCTATATATCAAACACCAGTCTTTTAGAACGATAAAATACAAATAAAAACCAAACAACACGGAGGATCGATATTCGCGGAAAAGGTTGTAAATTATTTCCAATTATGGATAGAATTTGTATTTGTTTTCGTTTTGTTTGTGTTTTTTTTTTTTTTTAATTTTTTTTTCATCCAACGAAACAGTTACCAGTTGATGGATATTAAGACTATAAATGAGGGAAAACATGTTTCCGTTCTCTCTGAAATAATGCTAATAAAATGTTTGGCATTACTGTGTGGTGTTCATATTAATCAAGAGAATATTAGAATTTTTACTTCTATTTTTACAATAAAAACGTTTTCCAAATAGAGTGGAACTTCTCCAAACCGACCATGCATTGGACATGAATATTTGGTCGGTTTAAGGATGGTTCGGTTTGTAGAAGTGAAAAAAAAAATATAGAGAAATGCATTTGTGAAAAAGTGAAAGAAAAGGTGAAAAAACAATGATACTTGTATCTGGTACATATATACCGAAATCCTGTCATTAAACTCATGAACCTGGCAAATATATGTTACAGCTTGCAATACTAGTTTCATAAGGAGTGCGACAACAGTGTACGTGCATATGTAACCAGGAGGACTTAACCATAATTTATGTAACACAGTATCACCGAGTTAGCATGAGGGAGATTTAAGAGTAGGGCCCTTACAAAATTAGTTCATAAATTACTATATACTGTACAGGCCACGGTAAACCTATCAAACTGGTGTTCTATTTCCAACCCTACCTCATTTCCTACAACTTCCCTTTCCGTTATTTCAAGTTCATTGTGACCTTTGCTATCATCACTGCTATTTTCATCAACGTTCTTTCACGACTCCGTGGTTTTTGAGTTACATACAGAAGGAATTTCAGTGTTTAAGTGTCCCTACAATATCGTCTTTGTAAAATCGTCACGTACGTTTAAGTGGTGAATTTTACATGGTAAGGAACGGTGGTGTTTCGTGGTGAAAGTTACTTCATAATAGTTGTTGGTGTTTTACTGGCGATATCTAACTGTGAAAACAGACGTTGCTTCATTTTAAATGTTACTTTGTAATATTTTCTTGTTTTTAACTTCGAAAATTACTTTGTTATTGATATTGATAAATAGCAGTGAAAGTAAGGTAGTGTTTTTATATTGTCGTGGACGGTAGAATTGTAATTTTTATAGTGTGGACACTAGTGTTGCTATTTTTAATGGGCGGTAGTGTTATTATTTTTTGATGGACGGTAGTGTTGTTATTTTTTAATGGGCGAGTTTGTTATTTCTTAATGGGCGAAAGTGTTGTTGTTTTTAATGGGTGATGGTGTTGTTAGTTTGTAGTGGAATGTAGAATTGTTATTTTTTAATGGGCGATGGTGCTGTTATTTTTTAATGGGCGAGTTTGTTGTTATTTTTTAATGGGCGAAAGTGTTGTTTTTAATGGGAGATAGTGTTGTTAGTTTGTAGTGGAAGGTAGAATTGTTATTTTTAATGGGCGATGGTGTTGTTATTTTTGAATAGACGGTTGTGTTGTTATATTTTGATGGGTGAGTTTGTTGTTTTTTAATGGGTGAGTTTGTTGTTATTTTTTAATATACAATAGTGTTGTTACTTTGTAATAGACGTTGTGTTGTTATTTTTTAATGGGCGATAGTGTTGTTAATTTGTAATAGACGTTGTGTTGTTATTTTTTAATGAGCGATAGTGTTGTTAATTTGTAATAGACGTTGTGTTGTTATTTTTTAATGAGCGATAGTGTTGTTAATTTGTAATAGACGTTGTGTTGTTATTTTTTAATGTACGATAGTGTTGTTAATTTGTAATGGACGACGGTGCGTAATTTATTGCTTTCAGCAGTCTATACATATATCAGTCTTATCAGAAATTATACTGAACCACGTGGCTTAAGTTACAAAATAAAAAAACAAGGCTTTAACTATGTAATATGATGAAATGTCTGAGCGATGGTGTACCCATAAGAATACTGCAACAACACCATTCTATTCTCAGACGTGCCCCCGTAACGACCTCAGTTATCTACAGGAGGAGAGAAAACAGATGAGGATAAGAGAGAACGGGAGAGGGGGGATCAATTATATCACTGTTACGACCGTGCCACCCAATCAAACTTGTTGTTTGTCGACCCTGCCACCAGACGGCGCTCTGTTGGTGTCAGTGGTAGCAGGTTTTTTACTGAGACCACGAACACCAGTATAAAACACTACAACCAAGTCCATTATATATACAGGCGTTTAATTGAGAGTAATTAGCCGTCTCAAGGAATCCTATTCTCTAACCGACAAAACCTTCTTAATTCCTTTCTGTTATCATTAAAACATGTTTGTACTGAAAAAACCTTGGAGTTATTTTAATTCCAGTATGGAGTCTGGATTCGGTAAATACCACTCTCAGTTTACAGATAATTTATGTACGTATTTGTTCTCTCAACATGACATATTTACACTCAAACCACAATTTTAATGAAGATATACCGTGATTTTTTTTAATTTTTTAATTACACCAAAATAAACGTGAAATATGTTCACCGAAATCAATTTTACTCTTTAACCCTTAGTTGACAATTTTTCGGCAAGATAGCTCGATGTAGACAGGACTCGTTAAATAATTTCATTTTCTTTCAAAAATAATTATTGTGTCTAGGAAAATCAGGTAGATATTTGAGTGGTGATATCTACAAACAGGTGAAATAAGTTCTGATAATTCTGGTTCAAAATGGGAATTTTCATTTATAAAATGGTTTTGGCAAAACCCACAATCTTGTATTTCCAAAATATCAATAACCCCCACCCCCGAAATTGAACAATCCTGAAGGCATCTCGTGTGAAGAATAATTCACAATTATTGACGACATTGGGATAAGTTAAACCAATACAAAGAAAGTAACAAAACTGAAACAAATGTGTTAAGTATTTTGACTCAAAAATAATTTGACTTCGTTATCGAAAAAATAAAAGTCGTTATAATTCAGAACTAATTTAAATTAAGAAGCGGTGTGTTTTTTTCAATTTTTCCGTTATTGTATTTGTATGTGTTTGTAAGTGACAGGAGTTGAGTGCCGAGAGTCACGTCTCCTGACAATAGGGACTCGCACCCACAAGGGCTATATCAAGTGTTGTATGGATTATCGTTAGATGCCGAAGTGTCGGGGAGATACTGTAACGTTGTACTGTTCTCCCAGTTACCAGCATCAAACAAACGACGATGAAAGGGTGATATGATGTTTAAATTTAGATAGGTGACAAAAGCGGTTAATCCAAGGTAATGGACAAACAAACAGACATTTACTTTTATATTCTTCTATTGTTTGCCTTTCATTTACACGGCTACGGAATAACATACAGACACGCCCTCTGATTGGCTCAGGTGTCATATTGTGATGACGTCAGTCACCATGACTTGACCAAAAACGAACCGAGATATGGCGGTATCGGTTGTAAAATAAAAGTATTCTTTACACAGTAACCCGTGTAAAATGTATAGATCTGTCGAATGTCGAGTGGAGACGTCTGTTTGTGAAGGCAAAGACAGTCTTAAGGACTCGGAGTCCTTCTGTGGGTTTACAAACTTCCACTCCATAATGTCACACGGTGGCTCAGACATGAGATTAAATAAACCTAACCGTAACTTGTTCAAAAGTGAATTCAGATAAACAAGTTATGACTAAACATTCAAACATTAAGAGTAAGCCAAGTTATTTTACTTTGATCCTATACAGAATACATATCGTGGGTTTCGTTTGAGGTCTGTCTCAAATTTGAAAAGACGAGAATAGTTAACATTTTCGAGCACATACGTGTACAAAAGATGCTTCGATGTCGCTTTTGTGGTAAGGTTTGTGCCCATTTTCGTGACAGTTATATTTTTGGAGAAATTGTTTTGTGTGTTTGTTCTATTTATATTAATTCCGTAATGGCTAACAAAGGAAACACGATATGTATGTGATATATACGTTCGCGTAGTTTGAGTTGTGAAAGCCGATCCTGTAGTGCTGTCAACAGGTTCAATGGTACCTTAATTCGGCATTGTGCAGAAAATGCCAATCTTTTTAATTGAAATAATTCCAGTTTCTTAAATAATTGTCCGCCCACCTCATTAAGTACATAACTTCTCGGTGAACTACTGGTGAAATACGAGAGTTTACGATCAGTTGTCGTATTATCTCATGGCCGAACATGTTACGTGCCTGCGACAGGCACCCGGCGCCCTGCAACTATACAGAACGTAGATATTTATGTGGCCATGTTGTCTTGGTTGTCAGAGCGACTGGGAACTCCCTCTGTCATACAATCCTCTCCCACCATCAATGACAATTCACATTGAATATCCCCATTAATACCAACATTTTACTACCGATGTCAATGCTAACAACACTGACAGTTTCTCACATTTCATTTAAGTTAGTGTAATATCAAATCTTTTCAATGCATCGAAAACTTTTCAATTTTTTTCCTAGTGTTTCTTCGGATTTCATATGAAACGTGAATGAGTCACGGTTTCTATATAATTAATGATGATTATTATGAGGCGTCAAATATTCTGATATCATCTAGACAACACTCTGTCAATTGTGTTCTGTGTCTATAACAGTTTCGACGCAATGCCTTTTCAAGACATCAAATTGCAGTTTCTCATATGGCATGTTTTAGTAAATATTTCCAAAATTAAACAGTTATTATATTAAGGAGATTATTGTGATTCATCTCTAACGATATCATCGCGATGATGTGGTAATTCATCCTCCCGTAAACGAATACTGTTAAACAGCAAAATGTACTCCATGAGTTTGATATTTCAGCTTCCGGTTATTCCCCGATGTATGTGACTGGCAGGTGATTTATTTCGAAATATGACTGATGTTAATAAAAATCGATATAAATTAAGAAATTTGAAAGGGTTCTCAGATGAACTCAAAAAGTTTGTGAAAAATGATATAATTCCGTACTATCTGACCCAAAATGGCGGAAATAAATATTATTCAAAAACGAAACTCAAGGTAATGTATCCGTTTAAATTTTTGTGACGCAATTATTTCATACAAAGCATCTTTGTATAAATCAATGATATTGTAGTGTCACAGTCCTTATTGATGTGTATCAACTTTATTGATTCCAACAGTAACAAACGTTCACTACCTTAAGTGTTCTCTGTGTATGGCGCCATGAACGCTGCTTACTGTAGGTCCATGTACACAGGTGAGACGAACCAGCTCGAGGTCTCGTGCAAGGCCAAGTACGGGAACGTATTTAAGCTGGTAAAACATGTATTCTTCACGTCCATACAAAATACTCTACACAGAGGAATTAAATGTTTAAAGAATGTCAGCGTCTAAATCCCGCGATGACAAGCTGGTCACAGAGATAAGGAAACGTGCCATACCAACGATATATTAGACATATATCTCTCAAATGTACACTGTTAAATGATTTGACAGTTTTGTAAGGGTTTAAATCGTCTGAATATATTTCTTTTTACGACATGACATGTTTTTAAAAGCTTTTGATATTGCTAATTCTGTGATATATGATATTTATGTCAAGATGCCATTTCAAATCGTACATGGTTCATCTAAATGTAAGACCCTAAAGACGTAACACTGGTTTGGAGTTGAATAGAATACGTAAATTGTATATAGAATATAGGTATTTTTCACAGACCAGATACTCTGTTATATTTCTAAAACTGTATAGAAGAATACTATCTACTGTGGTAACAATCAGCACAGGATCAGCGCCATGCCACAAACACAACGACTGATGGGTACACTGACATTTCATGCGCTAGAACGATAGTGGGAGACTTCCTAACAGATCGTGATGCTGAAATACGGAGACAGAGCGAAAATGAATTAATAACGAAGACAAAAACGGGACCTGCGTATTTTCTTAAACGGTCTTAACAGACATTAATGTACAGAACATTACGGGCTGTTTATAATGAACATGTAATGAAACTGCACTCTTATATGAAACATGCACTCTTGGTTGCGCCGGTAACGCACGAGCACATCAAAGTACGACCTCTGCCGGTGTTGCGGTTTACGAGGTTTTGTCGTGGGGCGATAAAACGGATGTGATAAACACTCCCTTGTTATGTTATATGTTACAAGGACAGCTAACGATCTCCGTCACAAGTACTGTAATCCAGTCTCACAGCTCAAAGTACTTTAATAAACTAGTAGTGTACAATATCGCTCGGATATATGTACGAAAAAACGCTTTTTTATTCGTGATAGAATAACACTGACAGTATCAAATGCTATAAGAAAGCCGAGCTGATATGTATGGTGTTCTGTCTCTAATCAGACTATCACTTGGCGGTGTTACACGCTCATGGTGTCTGCGGTTGCACACGTGCATTCAATAGTTGTGACAAGAGGAAGTAGGTGCAACAGCTGACACGTGCTATCGGTGTCAAACATCTGATCATGTGACCTGGGGGAGTGTTTCTTACAGTCAAATAATGTAAAAGTACCAATTATAGCAAAATAAAATAAATTTGATAATAAGTTAAAGGTGTCGCTGTGTGCTGATGAAATCCTAAAATGTAAACTCAAACACAATCGTAATAAACCATTCAGGTACACATGAGGTTACCGTCGGGATCAGCCTAACTGCCTCCTTTATAGATAAACAGGGGGTGTTGCCTTCTTTGTTGTTTTGGGATTGTCTGGTGTAATCCACTTGATTCTCTTGTGTAATTCTTATCAAAGCAGTTTTGAAGTAACAGAAGTTGGGTAAATCATTCCACATATATCATAAATAATACATTCGCCTATGTGGCTTGTTGTAGAAACGATATAATGTGATATACATAGGTCACATGATTCTACAGATGTCATTTTTAAAGGTCACGTGCTTATTTTTAATACCAAATTGTATCTTTAAAACACATATCTTCGGGTTCATGTTCCACACATGGAGTATTTATTGTCTCTAACCGTCCTAGTATAGAGGTTCCGTCATGAATTCTGTTGATGCATACTAGTATTGGATAGTCACGTGTTATATTCTGCTATAGTACAGTATTGTTGTAGTATATACTGTCTGACTAGAGTAAATATACCTATAGTACAGTACTGTTATGATATATATATTCTGACTGAAATAAACCTTCGTTTTACAGACCTCCCTAATGGACCAGGACATGTCCCTGATGAAGCAGCTCCTGATGCTGAACGAGGCTATCGAGGAGTTGAAATTCAATCGTCGCTATAGCAACAGTTCCCTCCCTGATAGCTCAGGTGACATTGTCAGTGACTCGGACGACGGATCAGTGTCCGAGACAGACATGTTTGTGTCAGAAGAAGACTTAGTCAAAATGTGCAACAACTGTCATCTTGGTAACGTTCTGACAAACTCTGTATCTGCATCATCATGTGACAATATCAACCGAGTATCAACAAAACAGAGCAACGTCATTCACAGTGACGTATTCCTGGACAACACGACTCACGACGAGCAAAACGTTTCATATGATTCAGGGTTCGAGTCTAGCTATGTGTCGTCATGAAACTACATCACGTGACACTTTTCGAACTAAAGACGCATTGGTGCTATACATTTTTTACAAACACGTGCGTGCACGGCCTGGAATACCCTTTACAGTTTCCGATTTTATACAACGATGGTGATCGCCAGACGACAGATGTTTACAATGTATCACATCCTTCGTCACCGTACCGCAATAGAGCTGCTTGTCTGAAACCACTGGACTGGAATATAGAGTACACAAAAATAACATGAGAGAATTAACTCATTCGGACTTAATTGGCTTTGATAACTTATACGATAATTGGAATTCTATGGAAAATAAGACTGAAAAATGCAGAATAAAATATCCTATTATAATTTAAGAACCATGTAAAACAACTATGAATTAAATTCGTATACCGTGATAAACTTTGGTACGCTAGGACTGACGGACGAGCAGCTTCAGATGCGGTACGGACATCCATTATACATTCCGACCGGCTGACCATGTCGGCTACCTATCATTGTACATTAAGTAGTGCTGTGGTGTCTTACCCGCGATAGTAGAGGTTTTGCCTTCAAACTTTGGTTAACTCCAAACCCGACGGTATCCACAGAGTGGATAGACTAAAAAGGTGTAACACACCCTGCTGGGGCAGGGAACCATGACCCTGGGGAAAATGAAGCCACGGCCCCGGGGTGTGGTCATGAACCCGTATGAGTACCAAACGAGCCGTAAACGACGTGTAGATACTCATACGGAGATCATACAAAACAAATATGTTTCGTTGAATAAAATTGTACAACAATAATATAGAGACGAGCAAAAAATAACTCACAAAAACTAGATCGAGTAACAGATGAGTCAGAAACTTATACAAAATACACGCGAGCCAGTGTTACTCATTGGGTAAAAAAAAGTCACTCTCAAGATTTTCACGTGAGTCTGGAACTCATGCGAGTGGCAGATTGCTCAGAAATTCGCGCAAAGTCAAACACGCATCTGAGCAGCAGATAAATCAGTAGCGCGTGAGAAGCGTACGAGTCAGTAACTCATGAGTAGCGTACAGAAACTCAGATGATACAATTGTATGTGGCGCAAATGAGCAACTCTCTCATCTGACATACGAGTTGGAAACACGTGAGTAACTGAAAACTCAGACACTCGCCACTGAGTAACTGTGGAAAATCACATGTATCATTTGAGTATTAAACTGGTAAGCCCAGCACACACCTTCAAAAAAGTTTCTGACAACAATTTAAACCACAGGAGTGTAATTCTTATAGCAATTTATCGTGGCAAAGCTTGAATCAACACGTGATGGCGCTGAGAACGACGGCCTCGTAAATATATCAATGTTATTTTGAAAGTCCGGGTGTGTGCTGGGCACATCCGGGTTCTGAAGCTCCTTCGAATACCCGGAAACAGAATTTCGAACGATTTCGGATCAGAGAGACTTAGGATGGATTTTCACGTTTGATATAAAGTGACTAGCTGTAATTCGAGCTGTATTAGATATTTGTTTTTGTTCAAAGTAAACAAGATTTTTAAAAATCAGAAGCTATATGCCTGACAAACGTGATTGATTCCGTGACGTGTTCCATCCTAGGTTATCTGTGGTAACGAGACAACAACATCAGAGTCTCTCCCGCTCTCAGATACACGTATAACATGATGTGATCAAGTTGAACGTAAAAAAACAAAATCGTATGTTCACATTAATTCGAATAAGAAAAAGCAAATCACTTAAAATTCTTTGGTTATTTAAGCAATTTTTAATTAAGCGTAAAAAAATACCATTGATCATAATACTAAAGATAACGGTAAACCCCCACCCCCTCCCCCATCCCCCCAATCTCCTCAGTTCCGCTATATGTAATATAGGGGAACTTATTTCAAATTCAAACAAACAATTTCAATGATGTTTAGATTTTAAGTTTTATTGCATGATGTTTTGGATAACGATGATTTCTTTTATCTGTTTTGTTTTTATTTCACACTGTTTTTAGTGAAAAGAGATGTAGATGTGTAATTTTTCATGTGTAATTTTTCATTTTATTTTTTTGTGGAGGTAGGGATAAAGTAGTGGGAAAGAGGAAGGGATAATAAAGGATGGGGATGTCTTGGGAGGGAAGGAAGGAGGGACAAAACGGAAGACCTGGAGACGAAAGAGTTTGCATAAAGGATGAGGAAATGAAGTAGAGGTTGAGGGGAAGGGAAGTGGGGGTTGAGGGAAAGGGAAGTGGAGGTTGAGGGGAGGGGAAGTGAAGTTGATAGAAACGTATATAGAGTGAGAATGGAGGGAATGGGGACAAAGGGAATGACCTGATGGAGACAGGGATAGTATTTAGTGGTCTGGTCAGATGATGTGAGAAAGTGCTAAATCTATATATAACCTGTATCAATCATATCTAAACTATAATTGATGTGCCTATTTACTACCGATATATCAATATTTAAATTTATGTTTCGATGTTAAACAACCTTTGGAAAATATGAATAAAGCAAATTTACCTTAAAGATTCTTTTGTTATATATCCAGAAATGAACCTTAATTATCAAGTGTAACTGGACGGACAGCTAGTGTAAGTGGTGTCACCCTCACGGTGACAGAAATGTTTCACTCCACAGCCATTCACAGAATTAACAGAAGGGACTTTTAGATATAGTTCTATATCATTATTACTATCCTTGCTGAGCGAAAAAGCCTTCTTATCAGACAACCAAACCTGAAAAAGTTTACTGACAACAGCAGGTGACATTTTAGATGTAGTAGAATGGTGGAACAGATAGGACAACTCGTCCTTAAGAATTTGATTGGCACCCCCGTCCGGCGCACTTCCGCCTTTCAGCGGGGTTGTTTCCGTCGGTGATGATATCCGCCCCTTCGACTGACTCATAGTTGTCTCCCTTTATAAAAAGATTGAAATAGTAAAGTTTTGTCTCTCTTATTAAAAAAATAAAAATGATAAAAATTAAAAAAAAAACAACAAAAAACAACAAGAAACAAAAACTCTTTATGTTTTAAAGTGAATTTCACGTTGATCAAGGAAATCTTTGTGAACTCTAAAACTTGACTTAAGTTTTAGGTAAGTACTGAGATCACCTCATGTATCAAGCTTTTAACGATAGACCTGTCATACTTTTACTATAGTTTGCTAATAGGATTTTGTACAGTGTCATTTGTATATAAAGTGATCTACAGTAAAATAAATTGTGACAAGTCCCTGTGATATAAGTAACCTAACAATGAAGGATTATATATTAATATATATCGGTACACACACGATCATTATTCCTCTTCGCCATGATCGGTGAAATCCCTAGTTTTATAATGCTGTTTATTATTTCGTTAGGATTTAAATAAACAAACTGCTTAAAATTGAACTTATATCTTTTCTGTAAAACACATTTACTGAGCAGGTTTATCAGACAAATTAATCTAGATAAGACATGTCTGCTTCGGTTTGTTTACTTAAAAACTACACCACCTCAACGTTTTAGAGTGAATGTCCTATTTATAGCTGAGTTTGTAGATAACACTCCAATTAAATTTTCAAATAAATGTGTAGAGAATGTAAAAAAAATCCAAACATCACGGCATTTCACGGGGGAATGGGTCTATTACAGCGAATGGACTTTGTATAGGTTAGACTATCTCATGGCCTTGCGCCACATCAATAAATTCATGTTTTACATTTACGAGGTATATCAGGCTACTATTTCAATAAATATGTCTTTTAAAACAATCAACTTGTCCATATTTTTTACTTAAATCAGTAAACCAACCTTTTAAAAAGGGTCCCAATTCAATAGCTTTATCAGGGACGCGTACTACACATAAATCATGATATTATCCATGTTTTTTTTTTTAGGAATTATGTCCATATTACTTTCACATTTTCTCATTTGAGATAAATCCCACTTTAAGTAACACTTTGTAACTGGTAGAGACTGTTGAAAGGCTGTTTTCCACTGGATTTGGGCGATTCGTCTCATACAAAAAAGATTTGTCGCTCCTGTCAATCTGTAATCATATAACACAAGGCGTATTTTCATGTGATGGATTCAAAAGACAGCGCCTTTACTTCTTTCCTTTTTTCCAATAGACTATTTTCCCCTATAGGAACTGTGCAGAGTTAAAAAAAACACATCAAAAATATTGTAATATGTAGGGAAAATATAAACACATTTTCCATTTGAAGAAATTTAAAACGTACGTTCGAATGTATTGTAGACACAAGACCGTAATATAGACAACCATGACACACAATAGAGGGACAGTTCAATGAAATTCCCTTCTTCTTGTGAACTATCATGACAACGGCCATAGTTTTCTTTACGTCTTCATGAGATAGCCAATGAAAATCAAAGCAGCATTGGTACTTCTGGAGTCCCTAAAATTAAACACCTACGGTGTCCGGGGAAATGAAATCGACCACTGCGGATACCACTTACGGAGTGAAAAGTAGTGATCCCAAGATTTAGAATTTAGGGGAATGTTTTGGAACTTGTATTGAAAAAAACGAAAGGGGACAGCCCCCTTCCCCCGCCAGCACTCCTAGCTCCGCCACTGATCATGAGCTACGTATTATCTCAGTTTCAACCCTGTACACTTTTACCGGTGGTGACTTGTTTAAAGTTTCGGGCTGATTTCAATTATTTGTTAGTTGACTAAGTACAAAGTGTATACATATATGTAATGACTTGTATGTTTAGTTGTTATTTAAAGAATTATATATCAAACACAACCGATGGGATCCGACATATCATTTCGTCAAAAGTAGAGTTATTGTCCATTAATACCAAAGGAAACCCTTCACAACTTCCTAAGTTACACCTTAACTATCTACCCAGGTTTACAGGTAACGTATATTTGTAACGGTTATCACTGCAGATCTCTGGTAAATGACAGCCTCGTAGTCACTTTTCCGTTATCGTGCGCGACAGGGGGTACCTGTCTTTTATGCTACCTGTAAATCGATACACCCTCCATCAAATTACCTACTCAACTCTGTCAGAAAAACCGCGCTCGGAAGCCATCGGGAGGATCACCTTAATATCTTAATTGAATTTTACTTCGGTTCACGAGAGACTTGATACATTTGAATATATACCATAAATTTCAGCACGTGAAATTCAAAAACGTGCTAAAGAGTCCACTAATGTGTATGTGTAAGAATTCACACGTTAGATGAGGTATAAGAGATTGTAAACACATCTCCGGAACTCCAGCTTTATCAAACAGATGTATGCAGAGCAAAATCAAGTATTGACAGTAAATAGTGTAGAGAAGTGACGAACACACGCATACAAATATTTGATAAAATTAATTAAACAAGTAAATAAAGACAAGTACATACGGTCCCAGCAGGAACTGTACATAGTGGGGGTCACACCTGTCCAGGTGTACTAGCTGATGATTTCAGGTGTACGTCACTAGATCTGACGAGGCGATTGTGTCAATATGTACTAGGAAACTGGCCGTGGGTCAAGTTGTTAGTTTTGACGGGTAGAAGTAGTTAGCACCCTAACCTACCGTACAGTATGTAAATACTCATTCTATTATATCAATACTAGACTATGTTTACTCAAATATTACAGTTTTAACTTTTTGTTACTTTAAATAACGTGTTTATTTGTCAAGTGAACTGGACCCTTGTGTATCGGTAGGTAAACATGCCTTAACTAGAAAGGATAACGAATAGTCAGAGTGATCAGTACCCTCATGACCGACTTCTAATGTTTATTACTATATGTTGTGACACTAGAATTACGTCCTCGGGATTACAGTGCTACGATGTATTTCAGCTTCATATATACATGCACCATAGAATACTTCAAAAGATAAATTATCTTGGCGGTCAAAATAAGGTAAAGCAAATGTAGACGGTACTTATTCACCTCAATACATAGACGATGTCTGTTGATATTTGTCTCATCTTTATTCTCAAGACCAGTAACGAATGCTTATTAACCTACAAAAGGACTGTAAAGCTGGTACTTATTGACGCTCATAGAGTAGGACTGTAAAGCTGGTACTTATTGACGTAATACAGTATGCCTGTAAAGCTCATGCTTATTGACGTAATACACCTGGATTGTAAAGTTAATGCTTATTGATGTTCATACAGTAGGACTGTAAAGCTCGTGCTCATTGATGTTCATACACATGGATTGTAAAGCTGGTACTTATTGACGTAATACAGTATGCCTGTAAAGCTCATGCTTATTGACGTAATACACCTGGATTGTAAAGTTAATGCTTATTGATGTTCATACAGTAGGACTGTAAAGCTCGTGCTCATTGATGTTCATACACATGGATTGTAAAGCTGGTACTTATTGACGTAATACAGTATGCCTGTAAAGCTCATGCTTATTGACGTAATACACCTGGATTGTAAAGTTAATGCTTATTGATGTTCATACAGTATGCATGTAAAGCTCGTGCTTATTGACGTCATACAGTAGGCCTGTAAACCTAGTACTTATTGACGTTCATACACTAGGACTGTAAAGCTAATGCTTATTGATGTTCATACACTAAGTCTGTAAACCTAGTACTTATTGACGTTCATATCCTAGGAATGTAAAGCTAGTGCTTATTGTCGTAATATAGTAACGGTGACTGATATATAGGACATGTAACTGACTGATGGCTTATTGCTATAGACTGACATACTTAGACTCTCATGCTTATTTACTGTTTTACATTGAAACTTTATCGGGTGCTGATAACTCCTATTTCATAAACAATGCATTCTGTCCTGTAAGGCCTAGCATTCAAAAAGAATTCTGAATTTTTCAATCCATCCGTTTTAAACATACACTACAAGCTTTAATTTATTTACAATAATAACACCTAACATCACAATAGATTGAAAGTTAATACTTTCTCAAAATAGCTCATTACTGGGACATTTTACCGTTTAGTTGGTGGGTTTAGAATATAACATATATTAACAACATTTCCAGAAGAGAGGCGTTACTACAGGTTGCTTGCTAACTTGTCAAGGAGGCCGTATCAGCTTCTATACATCAC